TTCCTTTTTCACCGAAATGTGAAACAAAACTATTGGCGATTTTCGCCATCAGTTGACAATGAGCTGAATAATTCAATCGATTGTCCTCGAAATGGAAGAATATATTTAATTTGTAGTTTCAACTCTTGATCTCGCGTAAAAATTGAAACGAAGGCGGCTTCGTAGAAATTTCAAAAGTGCTATGTCCATCGAAGAATCGTTTCAACGTACACGTAATAATTTATGATTCTAATTTGCCTCGGCACGATATTTGCATATTTGTCTTTCTATACGATCAGAAAGTGAAAGAATGAAACAGTGAGAAGAATACAGGAACAAATTTCATTCGTTATCCGCTAATTGAAAACTAACAGCGAACCGAGCTGAAAAAATTGCGTGATATGCAGTTGTGAGAAAAACGATATTTGTTATTCGAGACAATGAAGGGGAAAATAAAATATTATCGTGAAACCGTACGTCGCGTATCAATCGAGCCTGATATTTTCAAAGGTACGTCGCGTTTCAAAGTCAATCGATACGCTTAACTAAAAAGTTTTAAATTAGAGGCAAACGCCGGGTTTGAGGCTCCGTCCAGTTTTACGATATATTTACGTCAATATTCGATATTCTCTGTCTCTGTCTCTCTCTCTCTCTCTCTCTCTCTCTCTCTCTCTGTACGCCGTTCATTATTTCTGATTTTTTTGCAAATCGTAGTTTGAAATAAATAAGAACACTACGAATTTTTTTTTATCGTCCATCGAGCACGGACGTGGAAATGTTTGAAGTGCATTTCCATGCTGTCTGTACGCTCCTTCTCTCTTATTTTTCAACTATTGATTTTTCTTAGTAATGAGAACGTGGAAATACGGGACGTTGTGCGCCAACGTCTGACGCGATTAAAGCGCGTTGTCCGCAGGGAAATTAAGCATCTGCGTCGCGTAGAAGATTTCCTTGGTAAAAACCGGCAACTCTTTTCTTCCGTTTCAAAATGGAGGGTTGCTCGCGTTAGGCGTCCGACCGCGGTAACCTGAATTTTTTTCCAAGTCCAA